CTGGCTTGGGTGGTGGGGCTGCGGTGGCTCTTGGTGGCGGGAGCTGTGGCGCTTTGCACAGAGAACTTATCCCAGTGAGCTTGGGTGGGGGAACATGGCTTCTTTGAGGGGTGTCTGGTTGTGCAGACCACGCAACAGGACATGTGTCTGTTATGTGTGTCCTCCTCTTCATTCCCTGCTTGAGAAATTTCCAAACAAACAAACAAAAATCCTTTGGGGAGGGTAGGAACGTGGTGAGAGGCTTCCTGCCTTACTCGGCCGCAGGAAGCGGGTGCAGGTGGGTGCAACCCCTGCCCTGAGCGCCGGTGCCAGAGCTCGTGGTGCGTCTCGGTCAGTGCCTCTCACCGCTTCCCAGCCTGCGGAATTGCCAGCAGTGACAATCTGCTTGCTGAAAACTTCCCTCTCTGCGTCGTGGGTCATGTCACATGTAGCTCCTCTGCTCTGTCCCGGGCCTCCCACGAACCCCTTTTGTTCTTCTCCACCTTGTCTATGGGGAGGATTCTGCAGGACAGTAGATAAGGCTGCAGAGCTGGAATAGTCTGTCCTTGCCAAGGGTGCTGGGGACTCGCTACCCGCGTGGGAAATGGCTTGTGCTGCAGTGATGAGATCCCCAGCGGTGCAGCGTGGGACCCAGCTCCCGTGGTGCAGGGAGGTGCTCCGGGCTGGTGTCTTTGCGTCTCCTGAGCTCTGGCCCATTCAGGTTTCACCCGGGGCAGGAAGCTTTTTGTGGAGAGAAGAATCATCTCCTGCCACCCGCTGCAAGTCCAAGTGGCGGCGCGTGTGTTTGCATCGCGCGCGGCTGAAGTTGCTGTGTGCGTTTGCCCGCCTTACTGAGCAGGGAGCATCCTTCGTGCGCTGTCGTGGGTAATGCGGTCCAAGCAGAAGGTGCAAGCTGCCCAGCTTCTGAAATTAAAAGCTCTGCAGAGCAGTGCAGGGAGCCTCCTGTCCCACGAGGATTAATTAAGCTCCGTGCAGTTTGCTGTGTCCCAAGGCTTTTAAACAGCTCCTTAAAAATAATAGCACGGTTGCCTTGTGGGCCGTTATTGTGGGAGTCTGTGATGCTGCCGTCTTTGTCTCTTTAATCTCGCCTTCTCTTGAGAGATTTGCTGCAAAGTGCGTGTTGATTTTGTGCGCTGCACCCTGGAAGTGCCTCTGGCTGGGCAGTACCACCCTGCTCGGAGGAAAAACGCTCCTTCCTGACATGTCAGGGCTGTGACACCATCCCCGTGAGCGTGGGGCGCCTCCCCGCAGGCCGCGCTCGCCTTGCGCGGGACGGAGCGCGCTAACGGATGTCCTTGAGCGGTGCCCTTGGCACGGGCTCCCCGCACGGCTCGTACCGCTGTGCTTGGGCCATGCAGAGGCTCCGCAGGGTCTCTGCCCGAGCGCTGCCTGGCACCCTGTCCTTGGGCTGCTGTATCACGTCCTCAAGGGCACCCATGAGCCGGCACCTCTGGAAACGAGCTCCCTGGGTCCTCGGGCCCTAGCTCCTACAGAGTGGTGCTGGCAACCCATAGGCCAAAGCAAGTCCCTTCTTTTCTAGGAGCTCCATGTTCCTCCAACCTCCAGCTTTCCTTGGGGAAGGCACCTCGTAACGTGAGCAAACAGGCGTGGGAATCTGCAGGACTTTCCAGAAGCATCTCTCCTTGTCGTAGTTAGCTCGAGAAAGGCTTGAATGAAGAGCATGATTCATCCTACCCCGTTGCAGGAGTCCTGCAGGTTGCGTCCAGGCCAGGGTGCCCTGGGGCACGAGGAGAAGTTGATGTCGCTCCCTCTCTGCTGATCACAGATGGATCACAGATGTTGAGTTTAAACAAAGCCACAAAGGTTTCATTGTTGAGAAAGGGTAAATCTTGTATGGGCAAAACGCCAGGATATTTGTGTATCTTCCTTGCTCCAGATCTCTTTCTGCTCAAGCAATTTTGGCTTAAATTGGGTTCTTTCTGTAGTCTAGATTCCTTTTTTTTTCTGCCTGTAACTTTTCCTGTGATTGGAAGGACCTCCTCATGCCTTTGGTTGCCATCTTCACCATCGTCGTGCTGCGTCCTGTCTCGTTGTGAATGTCAGTTCCTCCAAGACCCTGGTGTTCCAATCTCAGGATCCATGTCTAACATCTTATTTCTTTTTCCTAAGGTTGAAAATTTTACATTTTCCAGGTACTCTCTCCCTACGTACACATTGCAGAAAACTATTTTTTGTCAGCTTATTGTTATCATTAGGTTGAAATGACCTGGTATCCACAGTCTTTAATGGCTATGTGGGCAGCGTTTCCCTTTTTGCTCAGTGCAAAGAGCAGGATTGCTGCTGTCAGAGGACAAAAGTCCCGAGGAGGCAGGAGGCTCCTTCACTCCTCTTCCTGAGATGCGGCACTATCAGACGTTATCGCAGCAGATTCCTGCTTCAAGCTCCCTGTGCAGTAGCCCTTCTGAAGGGACATGAGAAGGAGATAAATATTTGTTATTTTTTCCTGGTAGTTTTCCCCTGAACGCTCCAGGTTCTGCTTAGCCTGCGGCTGTGCTCTCAGTGGAGTCATCCACTGACCTTTCATTCACCAGCCTTTCATGTCTCTTTGAGTGTTTTGCTGCAGTTTTCTTCACTCAGTTCAGTGTTATTTTGGTGGGTAGCATTAACTTGTGTGCATTAACTTCTCCTACCCGTTAGTGTTCATTCAGGGCATTTTTTATCCTGTTGACTTGATCACTTCCGAGACATAAAGACTCTTCCACGGTCATCATGTTGCAGTTGAGATCCTTGTAACATCTAGCAGGTGTGAGTCTAAATCCTCAGTGTTTCTCTGCAAAATCTGTTTGTGTCCCTGCCAGGACGCAGTCCAGCTTTGAAACTTTACACCCTACGAGCACCAAAAAGCACCCACAGGAGGGCAGCTGCCTTGGTACCTGTGCTGGGCTACCCCCTTGTACCCTTGGCGTCCCCCTTCTGATGAAGCAGTGGCTGGAGGAGATGGTGATGCTGGCTCGGGGGCAACGGCGGGTTTGTCCTTGCCGGCTGCTCTGAACCTGTGGAGGTTCCTCTCCTCCAACCAAGCTCTGCTGACTGCGTAACATGTAGGTCAGCTCCGCCACTGATATGAAAAGCTGCCTGCAGATGAGTGAGGGCAATTCTTGTGTTGTTGGCTGACGACCTCCCAGCGCTGCCTGCTCTTTGGTAGGCAGCTCTCACGCTGTCCTACGCCTGAGTTTGTAGCTCCTCTGCCCGCGTGTGTGTGTAAGGCACCTTGCACCTCAGCTCATTTATGTGAAACAAACTTCCTTTCTAACCTCTTGCCCGTTAAATTATCGTGAGGTCTCTCTGCTGTGACCTGGCTGAAGGGTTTCGGTCTGTACCGTCAGTAGTTTTGATGGGATTTGGACTGCGTTGGCTTTAGGAGTAGAGAAGTGAGCAGAGGGAAAGCTGCCATCACAGGACTCATGTTCATACGTGTGAGTTCCAGAAATAGAGAAGAACGGGTAGAACGGAGCAGTTATCATCCGCCAGCCTTCTAGTGACTTGGCACTGAGCGTGTCGGTGGACGGCCAAGGAGATGGGGTAAATGGTGCCCTAGAGATCCTGGCAGATGCAGATAAACTGGGATAGCTGCGAGCACAGCGAGGGCAGGGAAGGAGCACAAAAGGCTTGGAAAGAGAGGCAGGGCAGAAGGAGCGAGCATGGCCAACTGAGAGTCGCCTTGGCCAAGGGCACGTGGAGACATCAGCGGGAGAGCAGCCGAGGCCCGGCCAAGGAGAAGCTGGTGGCACTTGGGAAGCAGGAATGTAGAAGGGAACTGCTGAGACGATAGGCAGAAAAATTAGCCTGAAGTTTGCGGTGCAATTGGCTGGAAACCCCCCACTGCACGTTGTGCTGCGCAGGCTCCACTGGCTTGTTGGCTGCATCTAGATGAGGGCAATTAAGTGTCTGTGTTAATGAGCTCTCAGCAAGGCCTGCGGCGGCCGCAGCAGAGAAGCCGAGCAGCAGGGCTGTGTCCGCAGCACAGGCTCTGAGGGACAGCACTGTTCTGAGCAGCTCTGCCCTTCTCAGGTGGGTTTCTCATCCGCAAGGAGCAGTCTGGGTGCTTGCACGTTCTCTGGGAGCTCTGGCACGCGGGATCTTCCCCTCTTGGCCATTCCGCTTGGGAGAGCGAGATGCGGAGCCTGCAGCCCCTTTGAGCTGTGGGCTGCTCTGGGTGGCACTGCTGGCTGTGTGGGGTTAGGGGCGGAGGGCTCCACGTGGGCCAGCTCACTTTGGCTCTTAAAGAATGTTCAGGACTAACTTTTTTTGAGGCTGAGGTTTGCAAGTTAAAGGTGAAGCGTTGGCTCAGATTTTAAGGCAGACAAGTTGGCTTTGGGCGTTGGCAGAGGCAGCCGACGAGCTAAGGTGCCCTTAAAACTTTTGAACAAGTTGCAACTAAACTTTATCTTTGTATTTCCAAATATTCTTATGTAAGTCTCCATGCTTGCTTGCTGATAACTTGCCTTAGAATATGCACACAATCGTTTCCTTTACGTGGAATGACAGACGACATGCGGGAGCAGCTCCGGAGCCTCTCCTGGGGTGCAGATCTGCCACTGGGGAGCAGCCTTGTCCTCACTGCGGGCCAGCAGTGCTTGGCATGGCTCTGCCCTGAGGTGCCCTGCCCAGCGCCGTGCAGTGGGTAGAGCTTCCGTGTGCCCCTCTCTGGGGGTGCTGGGGAGGCGGTTTGGGCTGGCGCCTGGGGGCTCAGCCTGGTGCTAGGCAGGAATTCCCAAAGAGCAGCCCGCCACTCCGGAGCGTTTTGTGTCTGCCCAGGCTCAAACTTAGCCCCGGAGCGATGAAACCACTCTCTTCTGCACTGCTCCTATCGATCGCCTGTTGCTGCCTGCGGGTGACAAATGGACTTCCTGGTCCTCCCATCTCTAGCCACTCGAGGGGTACCCGGCAGCGTGATTAATCTTGGCCCCGTTGGGAGGAGCTGTGCAAAGGCGGTGCGAGAAAATCCAGGCTAAACGGGGAGGGGATGACGCTGTCGCATGGCAGAGCTCAAGGTTTTTTGGAGGTCAGAGCCATTTTGTGCCTGCACGTGCGGTGTCTAGGAGGGGCTGGAGGAGGAGGATGTGGATGCGAGGAGTCCTCCCTGCTGCTGCACGTCTCGCTCCGCCGCTGCTTTCCTTGGCCGATATCTTGGCCATTTCAAAGGACACCTCAACCAAGATGTCCTTTCCTGCAGAGGTTGAGCTCTGAAAGCTTTTCCTAGATGAGGATATCCAACGGGTTTTGTAGAACTCGATTTCTGCAAAAGTAGATATTTCTGCAAGTCTGAGCTTGTCTTGCCTGGCTGAGTCTTAGTGTGTTTGAGTTGGCAGCTGGTAACCCATGGGACCCGGCTCCCTCGGAGAACGAGGAGCTGCTTCCACGGGCTCTTGTGCTCTTTCTCAAATGCAGATGTCCACTAGGCTGAACATTAAGATGGCACAACCTGGGGGTTGAGCAAGGGCAAATGGGTCTCGGATCATCAGCTCCGCTGGGAGCGTGCACGGAAGGGATGTGGGGCACCAGGGCAGACGGGCAGGCTGGGGGCGACCAGGGGGAGACCCCTGGGCTGCTGGGATGGCCTTAGCTTGGACAGGGTGCTTGGAAGCAGCAAGGCAGTTCGCAGGCAGTAGATACCTGTGTTCACAGAAGCAAATCCCAAGTTAACGTGGGCGCCTTCTCCTTGCTGTGCTGTAGGCTCAACTCAGCCTGGGCTTTTATTCCAACTCCGTCTAAAGAAATGTGGGAAGGTGGGAGCCCCCACTGCTATTGCAGTGCATGGGAGCTGGTGTCTCCTGAAGCTGAAGGAAGGACAGGTGTAGGAAAAGAAAATTAGATTTGAAGTGCTTCTCCAGTCTTGGCCTTAACCATTATCCGTTTCTCTCTCTCTTGCTGCCTTCCATGATGCTTGGACATGCAGAGCGGCAAGGGCTTTTGGAGAATATCTTTCACAAAACCATCCCGAAGGTAGAAACGGCTCAGGTAAGAGAAGTGGCACACACTTATTATATTTCTATGCAGATTGTACTTTTCAAAATAACCCTTAGAATGAAAAGCATTAACGTATCCTAAGAGGTCAGCGTGCAATCTCAGCAGATGGGAGACGCAATAGTCAGCTTAGGGATCTGTTGAAGCCCTCGAGGGCAGAAGGCAGTTGGGTGGCTCCTGGGGAGGGGGGACTGTGGGGACAGGGTCAGTTGTAGTGTGCAAGTGCCCTGTCATAAATCCCATCATAAATGGGAGATGTTTCGGCTGAAAAATACGGGTGGCGCTACACAAGGGTGCTGCACTGGCCGGTCACTCCTAAGTCTTGCTTTTACTGTGGAATAAAAAAATATATATAAGGTGAGTTATGATGTGTGAACTGATGTGCTCAGCATATGCGTTTGTTGGTCGATCTCTTCTGTGGGGATAGAGCTTTCTGTTTTACCTAAAATGTAAGTGTGTGTTTATAGGAAGGAAGTCCCTGCCTTCCTTCTTGATCTGTTCTGCTGACCTTCAAGTTGTCCTTGGTGGAATAGCACTTGCTTTGTGAATGGGAGCACCTGGAAAAGCTGTGGGGCTGCTCTCCGAGTTCCCAGGCATGAGAAATTCCAGTGACACATTAATTATTAACAGGGCTTATTCTAAGAATAAGCCACAGTGGACGTGGGGAGGAAAGAGTAGAAAAAGGTTGAGGTCCATTAAAGCTAAGGTCAGGAGCCTGAGGCAGAGGAAAGGAAGGGTTGGACAGGCTGCAGAGAGGCCGGTCATGGCTCAGCAGACATCCCAGTAGAGCAGCATCCTCTATCGTGGCCATTTTTGCAACTGCTCTTGTCAGCTGGAGCCTTTTTGTGCGATTTTCTGCAATCCCTCATCCCATTGCTGACCACTTTGGAGCATCCTTAGCTATGGGTAAGGAGAAGATGAAAACAGAGCTAATGGGACTGCGTTGTGGCTGGACAATATTCGGCCGTGGGTCTCCTCAGAGTCGCTGCGCAGGGGAATAGCAGAGCTCATTGCCCATGTGTGGCTGCACTTGTGCCACAGCCCTGCTGCCAAGGGCAGCCTCCTCTCGGCCAGGAGCCGCTTCTGCCCTGCTTCAGTCCGAGTGAATGCAGCTGCTGTGGGTGTGAATCAAGGAGGGAGGGATGTGCATGATTATACTGCAGTCCTCACGGGAACTTGAATTGTAACTAAACTAATGACATTCTCTAGAAATGCTCTGAATGTCTGCAGGAGAGAAGCATCTTTTTTTTTTTAAATCATCTTTTGAAATTCTGTAGCGTGTAATTTAACACAGTTGTAGCATTTCTTTAAAGGCAATCATGGTAGAGAGGTTATTTATTTCACAAAAATTTTGAAGGTAGAAAATCTGGCCCCGTTTCACATGTACCAGCTGTCTAATTATGAGAAGTCTTTCCTTCCCTGCAGAAAGAGAGTTGTTTTTGTGATTTTTTTCTAAACACTTCACCCCTAGCTTTGAGAAACTGGGGAGAGATGGTAACTACAGAATATATATGAGCAGGATAGGCTACCACGTCCTAGACTTCTGATGAGGGGTGATTTATTGGCAAGGCTTTTCTTACCTCCCGTTTTCAGCACTGCAGGACACTGCAGGTACTCAAGGGCGTACGTGGAGGAAGCAGCCCATGAAGGACACTTCTGGTAACACCTTCTGTAGCTTTGGTTCTTCCTGATGTGAAGCCTGAGCACTTCACGGGTCAGCAATGCCGCACGCCTGGTCTGTGCGATTCTCTGACGTCTTCTGGAGGCCGTTTGGGTGACCAGGGAGGTGCAGGGAGTGCTCAGGCCGTGTTCTGGTAGCCTGCAGCAAGGAGTGGTAGCAGAGCTTCCTTCCCTTTGATTCTCTTTTGGAAGCGGCCGGCTGCCCGGTGTGTGTCCTCATAGAGAACAGGCCCTTTGGGACCCCTCGCTTTGTCCTTGTTAATCAAGAATCAATCTTTTCTTTTTCTCCTGATCCTTAAGATACCCTGAGGGCTTGGAAAAAGGGAAGGTTGGACACAGCAACAACAGAGACCACTGATGTGGCAAGGGGGCTGGAGCCAGAGTGGTCATGCAGCTCCTGCTCTCCTCCTGCCTCCCTTACTTGCAGGCTTATTCATGCAAACAGAAGGTCTGGAAAGGCTCCCAAAAAGAGCGCTCTCACACGTGGAGCATTAATTCTTCCAAAAACTTTTCATCCGTGTCTGTGGAATGCAGTTGATGAAAGGGCGAGTCTCCCTCAGGACAGCCCTGGATGGAAGATAGGGAGAAGCACTGAATGCTTTGAGGACGAATGCAGTAAGGCTGCAGAGATCAAACGAAAAGGAGTGATTGCTGCAAGTCCCACTAGTGCTTGGGGGATAAGGAGCTTGGGGCTTCCACAGGGATCCCCCCTCCAGGTTCGATGTTGGAGGCCCTACACCAAGCTACTGCATTAAGTCTCTCTATGTTCATATACTGGGGGAGCAAGAAAAATACCGAGGGCATGAGGCAGCAAAATGAAAAATAAGGATGAGTAAAGCAGTTGGGAAATTTCCTCTTCTCTGGAGGGCAACAGTGATGCCTCACAGTAGGTGGATCCAGACCCAGGGTTCCTTTGCTGAGGAAGGGAAGGGAGCTGGTGCTGGCTCTGTTTCCTCGTCCTTCTTGTCCAGGTGGCTTCTGTTTTGCTCAAGTTGGGTTATTGGAGGGTAGCTACTGCTGCAAGTGCTGGGGCCTCCCCTGTAGGATCCAGCTCTGGGCTGCCCGGAGCTGATGGAACTTGGGCCAGAGCTCCCTAGCGTATCTTGATTCACATTTGCTGTGTTTATTAGGAAAAAAAGAGTGATTATTAGCAAAAATAGTGTAGCTAGATGCTTTGACTGCTACAAACCAAACTGGATGGTTACCCAAGACTGAAACCAACCATTTTTGCAAGCTCAGAAGTCATCTTCACTTCTTCATCTTTCCAGAACGTTTCAGCCGCCGGTGAAAACCCTGGGTGTGTGAGGAGGAGGAGGCTGCTTGCGACCTTCCCAGGCTAAGCAGCCCTGGGGAGCACTGGCAGGAGAAACCTGCCCTGCCAGGATCCAGCCCTGCCGGGATGGAGCCGGCGGTGTCTCCAGCCCGGCCATCTCGCTGCGCCCCGGGCCTCGTGCTGCCATCATGGCTGGTGCCGAGCAGCTCGCGTGGCCCTGCCGCAGGAGCACTGGGTCACTCGCCGCAGAGGAAGCTGCGGAGGGAAATCACATCCCCGACGCGTGGGGCTGCTGCCAGGTGCGGCCAGCGCGGGCGCCGTGTGGAGCCATCCCGAGCCTCGCCATGCAGCACCGGGGCTGCTTCTGACGGAGGCAGCATGGGTCACCGCGTTGCCATGGAGACGCTGAGGCAGGCGCAGGCGCTGCCGCTCGCTCCTCTGGGCCTCGGCTCGCAACAGCAATCGCATCTGTTCACATTAATGGTAGAGGCCACACTAAAGCACTGCAGATCCCTGAGACGCGGCTCAACGCCATCGCCAGTTTGTCTGATTTCTTGGCCCGTTTTAGCTCACAAGAGTAGCGGGAACCATTTGCCATATTTAAGTTCCCTCGGTTTTCTCGGAGTTGCTTGCAACCCGACATCCCCGTACCTTCCCGCTCCCCAGGGAGCAGTGTGACCTTCTTCCTTCCTTGGAAGTGGTGGGATAGAGCACCAGATACAGCCACAGCGCCACTGCCTTCGTCACACTGCGGAGTCTCCCGTAGGGAACCTCGTGCTTGTCGCACAAACGCTGCCCTTGGCCTCTCTGACCAGCTCCTCGCAGAGGCGCCGCTCGCTTCACCCTGAAGAAGGGCCAAAATGACTCTGACTTCATTTTAAAAAAAAAAAAAAAAAAGGGAAATTATATAAATTATATCTCCATTTTTATCTTCCTGCCTCATGCCTCTCTGTTTTGAATAGGGTTTTCCTATTTTTTCATATTTATTTCTTTTGCCATGCCTGTTTTGTGCTGGCAGCATCCCAAGGGACACCGCCAGGAGCGTGTGGTGCCGCAGACCTGAAACTGCACGAGCAGCTGCCAAAACTCTCTTGGAAACCTCCTGCTTCTTAGCACTGAGCTGGTCTCTGGCTACTACAGCCCTCTGCCTTCGTCTTTGCAGGCATCACTGGGCCTTCTGCAGTGTAAAGTATAAAAAATATCTTCATTTAATTCTACTGCTACAAACACTGCGAGTCCATGTCCTGAAACCGAGCATATTTCAGGGAGTCTTTGCTAGTCAGGGCCAATTCTTCGTTTGCTCTTGGCCCAATAAATTGAGGAAGCTTCTGGTCCAGAGAGTAGGGGCAGAGGAGAGAAAAGAGTTCTCAGTTCTACTTTTGTGAAATGATGGTTATATATATGTGTGTGTGTATATGTATGTACACATATATGTATACATATATATATGTATACATATATGTTTTTGATAGGATTTATCTAGATTCCTATTTGCCATTTTGCTTCTAATGGTGGAGCTGAGGTTTTAGATCTAAGATGCTTTAATCATCCATTTGGCTCCTAACTACAGATTTTATATATGACCTGTATAATAGATGTATATTTAAGCTTCTCTCCATGCCTACTGGCTATATTCTGCCATGACTTCTGATCTTGTGCATTGCAGACAGTCTGCATCAGGTATGAGTTTGCTTGTGTGAGTCTCTCCACTGATATGGATGGGCATCAATCACCTGAGACTCATCCTTTATTTTGTCTAATAAATTCTAAAAATCTAATTAAAATTCTGAATTAAAAATTCTAATAAATTTCTTCTTATTTCTTTTAGAAATGTTGTTACAGGGAAAGAAACTGAGAAAGCTTAACTTAAAGTTAGTTGCATGATCTAGGTCTGCATGTTGAAGTAATTCAGAGATACTGGATGCCAAATAATAGATTTTAGGTATTTGATTGTAATAAATGTGTAATAATCAGAACACATTTACTGAGAGCATAGATTCTTCTTTCTATTCACCCAAAGGATCATGAAGTAACAGCAGAGCTGATCACTGCTGTCAGAGGCTGGGTCCTTGGCAGTGCTCACGGTCTTGTGAGCAGTGAGTTTTGGGCAGAAACATCCCAGAAGAGCAGGTAAAGCCACGAAGAAGGGAAATGCAGTCGGGGAAATAGGAAGAGGAGTAACGCTTCTCAGGACCTAGGCTCTGGGTGGACTGTTGGACTTGGCCCAAGTAGAGTAAGTTGTGAAAACCCATGGCCTGGCTGGGTGCGGGCTAAGGTAAGCTAAGTACGGCCTAAGTAAGGTAAGAAGGAAGGATTATCTGCACGCTCTACACAAAAGCCTTTCTCATCAGAGAGGCAGCTTATATCAAATATATTAACCCAAGATCTGTAACCTTGTAACTGTAAGATAGGTTCCAGGTAAGAGTCAATCATGTCCCATTTCCACCTCTAACTCTGGACTTCTCTGTTTATGAACCTGAGGCTGGGGTTTGGCTCTCTGTGCTTGTAGTCCTCAGCAGCTTCAGACATGCTGTTTGGGGCCCTTCTTTCGCAGTGCTGACCGAGGCCTTACAACCTCACTGGAAGGTTCAGATGGCAAGCCTTGCCCTCAGAGATGGGAGCTGGGGAGTCCTCATGTCTCTCAGGACCCGTTTGGAGCACGGAGACGCGCCGCTGTCGGCGTGTGGCTCACGGCGTGTGATCCAGTCTGCTTGCTGTGGTGCTGCAGTCTCTACTCCATAGAAATAAACCTTTCCAGGAGGAACGGGAGCAGCTGCCAGCTACTCTACTGTGGTGTCTCAAGGAATATCTAGCTGTGCCCACGCGGATTAGTAAATTTGACAAGCTGAGATGAGCGCCTAGAACTAGTCTTTGTTTTTATCTTAAAAGCTGCTGTGCTTGGCGTGGTTCAAATGGCAAATTTCACGGCGCTGTCAGTGGAGGGGGATAAAAAGCTGGCTCGGGCTGCACGATGGTGGTGTTTCCTCTGGCTCAGGATACTCTGAAGCACAGGGAGCCGCTGGGGGGGGATTGTTGAGTGGCTGGTGAGCAGGGAGTGTGTCCTGCTGGGTGCACAGAGTGCGAAGCAGAGTGCAGACCCAAGCTCTGCTCTGGGGACAGGTTGGGCTGCACTATCTTTTCATCCCGTCTCCTGGGCAGAGTGGGGGGACACGTTTATGTCCTGGCGGTGCTGGAAGAAGTTGTATCTCAAGCAGAGAAACGAGGTAAGAGTGACACAATATGCCCCCACCAGGGAAATCCTGCTCCTACAAACCTACAAATCCTACAAACGCAGCAGCAGCAGAGGCCCTTAGCAAGCTGAGCAGAATCCAGTGTGGCCTTCAGATTCAGAAGCCCCGCGTGCAGGTCCTGGGGCCAGCGTAGCACAGGAAACCTCTCTTGCACAGCCATGGGAGCAGCTCATAGGCCGCAGGTTGCGGTGCTGGTGCGAGGTGCAGGTTGCACACGTGTGTCCCGCAGTGCCACGAGGTGACTCTCCATCTCTCATCCCTCGTGACTGACTTGAAGAGAGCCAAGTCCTGGGTCGGTGTCCAGAACAGCAGCTGAAGGAAAAACATTCGGGTTTTGCTCTTTTTTTTTAAAGCAAGCAATAAAGAAATGGGTTTGCCTTTTGTGTATAATGCTGCTGCCCGTGCTGGATGCCAACGATTTTATCTTTGCTGGGGTAGCAGTCGCATGACTAGTGCCTTCCCTGCTAAGCCTTTTTAACAGTCCCTAGCTGCTCCCCAGCTGAAGGGAGGTGGAAGGGGTGATTAACAGCCACTTGAGAAAGGGATTAGCAGGTGGGTGGCAGCTCCCCTTGGCTTCATGCATGGAATTGCCATGGAAATGCTGCCGTTTCCCGGCGCTTCATCCACTGTGTGGGCTCCAAAGGCACTTGCACTCGTGGGCCTCCCTCCTCGCGCTCCTGCTACCCGCCAAAGGCAGCTGGGTGGCTTTTCTCCAGGGCTGCTTCTGCAGGCAGTGCTGGTGTCATCTGCACCCGTGGGGCTGGCCAGGGCACCCCAGAGAGCCGTGCCACCATGTCACAGCTCTCGGCTGAGGCCTTTTGGCCTCTGCTTCGTGGCCAACTGACTGGCAGAGAATCAACATGAAACCCTTATGGTTGCCCCAGCCCTTCAGCTTAGAAAGCGAGAGTTTGGCGCACAAGGAGCATTTGGAGTGTGTGACTTCCCACCAGTTTCAGTGGGTACCAGGACAGAAGTTGGGGGTGCCCCTTGCCCTGCAGCGCGGTGGAGCTGCTGGAGCTGCCGAAGCTGCCCAGGCTGCTCTGCCATGAGCGCCTGCAGACCGCGCGCCGGGAGCTGCGCTTGCTCCTGCTCCGTGTCTCATGGCCATTCACTGGTTTAAACTATTGGGCAAATATGCAAGAAACGTCTCTTTTCAGTAACGCTCCTGATGATTTACAAGACTGTCTAGAAATGTTCACCCAAAAAGGTTCTGCGGAGGCCCTGCTGTGTCTCTCTTCTTCCCTTCTCCTTTCTGCAGCAGTAGCAGAGAGTCTCCTGAAGCTGTCTCGGGTTTAAGCAGTAAAAGGTGCTGTCTCTTGCAGATCACCTGCTAGCAGACTCCTACATGGGCCAGGAGGAGTCCCCCGAGATGCAGCAGGCAGCACAGAACAAGCGGCGCCTCTCGCTCATCTCGGACGGCAAGTTTGAGCGGAGCTTCACCGAGGAGCAGCCGGAGAAGATGCCGAGCGAGGGCCCCAAGCCGCGAGTCTACACCATCTCGGGCGAGCGGCCGATGCTGTCAGAGCACGAGAACGAGAGCGTGGAGCTGGTCGTGATGAAGGGGGCGGCCGCGGAGGAGTGCCAGCACGGGCAGCCCGGCGGCCCTCCCGGCGCCAGCCGCCCCTGCAAGGGCTGGCCGGGCAGCCGGCAGGGCTCCAAGGAGTGCCCCGGCTGCGGCCGCCCGGCCGCCCCTGCCCAGCACTCCTTCGACCTGGAGCCGCAGCAGTGCAGCGAGCCCGCGTGGCACAGGAAGAGGCTCGAGAGGATGTACAGCGTCGACCGCGTCTCTGGTGAGTGCGTCCTGCTAAGCGAGGGGGCCCAAGGGCTCTCGGAGACGCGTGGCTCGAGGGCGATGCCCGGCCCGGCACAGCAGTATCGCTGCGGGGTGGCTGGAGCTCAGGCCCCTCCTTCAGCGCTTTGCAGCGGTGTCTGCAGAATGGGATGGACAAAGCGGGAGCTTCAAATAAGCGGAGCTGGAGGAGCCCCCTTGTCTCGTCACGGCAGACAAGCAGGGTGTTTTCATGCTGATTTAACGGAGCTTAGTGGGGATTAATTTGGGGCATCCCTGGAATGGCTCTGTGTGGCTGGAGCTGGCTCGGCCGGCTCCCTTGCATTGTGCCGCTTCGGAGGCTTTCCCTAAATACTGCCAAATAAATGATACTGGACTCCTCCTGCACTCGCTTACTGGGTGTTTTCAGGGAATACACCTTGTTATTTCTCATTTGCTTTTTAAAATAACCTGCTTGTTTTTTAAAAAATTGACCATCAATCAAATATATGTCTCAATCTGTGTGCTTTGCATTAGAAGCCAGGAAACAGTCCATCCTCATTGGTAGGTTCTGTACACGGCCTGCAATGTGCAATTTTCCTGCACATTTTGTAATTGCATATTGAGGCTTTTAGAGCCAAGAGCAGGATAACTCAAGGTTTTCCCCTTTCTCCACAGCATGGAGAGGTCTGGCTTGTGTGGAGATCAGAGCGCTCATTGATACCAGTTCCAGCTCTAAGACCCATTCTGAGTTGGAAAGCATAGATTTTCTCCTGCAACGTTGCTATATTTGTGTTAAAAGCTGTCTTGAATAAATCAAAATTGTGTTCTGTGCTGTGGGACCTGTGAGCCGGGTTACATGGTACAGATTAGGCTTTATAATATATAATATATAATAATATATATAATGTTATATATATATAATATATATAAAAATGTGTATATGTAAGCTGCATGTATATATACACATATATATATTATGCTTTTGTATATAGATGGTGGCATTTTTCATTAGGGCTGGTTATCAGTGTGAAATGGAGATTGTCCTTCTGAAAATACATCAGCGTAGTGAATGGGAAGGCCCTGGACAGCCTGGGACCTGCAGGAGCTCCAGGAATATTTCGCGCGCGGCACAGGGTGGGTGCCCTCTGTGCCCGTCTGTAGCCCCCGCGTGCTGGCACGGCTGGCAGCAGAGGCAGAGCTGCCTTGCAACCAAATCCCATCATTTGCACTGGCACCACGTGCTGAAAGTTTTCTCGGCTTGGCCTAATTTGTGCCCTCTACCCAAGTGCTATCAGTGAGAGAAAAACCAGTAACTGGTGTCGCTGCAAGAAGTGTTTCCTGGAACGTCCTTCGTGCATCGCTAGGGGAGAACACGGAGCAAAGATGAGTGGAGACAGGAGAAAGACTAATTTCCCCTGGGATTCATTTCACGATGATGTTTTTTCTGTTTGGATTTACATAACGGGTTATTGCTGCAAACCAATCCTCACGGCAGTTAGGCCAGATTGGCGTAGTTTAATATGGATTTTTATGTTGAGCTTATGGTATCTAGCACCATTCCGAGGAGCACAAGCTATTCCCTCCCATATTGCTCCCCATATCTGATGCAAACATGTCCGCTAGCAGGCGAAGGTGCCGTGGTGTTTCCTGCTGCCCGGCACGTGCTGGAGAGATTGAACAGTGTCATGGTTTCTCCAGGCTCTCCTCGTCCTGTGGTTCCTTGGCTGCTTCGTCATGGTAGATGAGAAAAAGAGGGAAAACGCGATGTCGGTCAGACAGATTTCCAGACCTTGTTCAGACAGCACCTCACGAGGATATTAGCACTTGCTCATAAGCTCTCTTTTGAATTGAAACTAGTGACTTAAAAGCTGGAAAATACAGTAAGACATCGTCAGTCTTTTGAGATGTGTAGTCCCAGAAACATCTGCACGGAAGTGTTGACTAAGCCCAAATTCACACAACTGCTCCTCCTTCAGCACTTCTAAGAGATCGAGACTTCAAACAAATAATCCATTTTCTATTCAAACAAATAACACATTTATATTCCGAGCTATTTTGTATTATTCTCTCTGTGGTATTTGGCGGAGGGCAGACAGATGAACTCCATAATAAGAATTTGGAATACTAGCATATGGTTTTCATTTAAAATATATAGTTCCTTAGGGTGCCCTTACACAAGGCCTGACAAACTGTCAGCTGATAGGAGTGTCTCTGACTGCTTCCTGCAGGATTTCCTGGGGGCTACTCCCATGCATGGATTCATTTCAAAGGAAGCCTCCTCACTTGCATTTAGCATTTTTGCATCTGTCCTTGTAATTTCTGTGCTTACAGGTATCTGCAGGATCACTTTATAGGTAGATGTGACCTATATGAAAAATTTTGGTGAGATATCTGATCTGTAGTAATTATATTTGCAGTAGGCATACAGGGCTGGCCTTTGGCCAGGAAAAGTGAGTAAAAAATATTTGTGATTATGCCAGAAAATTAATGACTGAAATACTGTAGTTGCTGATGGTCTTAAAACTCCGGTGAGCAGAACACCACCTTGCCAAGTGCTGTTGAACCTGTCTTAACCAAAGGAGCTATGAAATTGGAAGCAAAACACACTGCAAATCGGCCTCAAATCCTAGGAAGATCCAGGAGGGAGTCCAGGGAGATCCCACATATCCCATGTTAACATAGCTCTGACTCTGTGGCTGATGGACTTTAGCCAGAGTTCCTGTTAGGAGCTGTTTTTTGGTCAAATTCCTCTTTCTGTGACACCAGTGTTTCATAAACATAATTAGTAACGTATTTCAATGCCTGTTCTTTACCACTTAGTGACTGTTACGTGGAGGTGATGAGGTCTCCTAATGCAATGGGGCTGGCAAGCAACACACAGCTCGTTCAGGCAGGGCAGCTTGCAAAGGGAGCAAATAAGTGTGGAGGGGTTTGCAGGCTGCTCATGAGCTGTTTGACTGCTAAAAACAGAGGCAAAAAAGAAACCCAAAGCGTGAGGGCCAGATTATCACAGACAGGTGTGTAAGGGATAGACTGGAAAACATGAATGTGGGAGAAAAGTGTCCCAGGCAGTAATTTCTTTTAGAGAAAGGGAGTGCTGCCACAAGGGGTTGTATTGGAAAGAGGCGTTTGAAAGAGATATTCCAGAGACTGGAAAATGCTTTTAACGAGGAATGTTTTTTCTGGTGTTTTTTTTTTTTCCCCTCTTCTCCAAATGTCCCTCTTTAGAATGATCCAGGGATTACACTAATCTCCTGTGTTTAGGAGAGAGCTTTCGTTCTTCATTTAATAGCCTGATAGGTGCAGTTCAGGAGGCTTAGCACAAATTTCTAAAACCCTTGGTGGTAGCCTGGGTATGAACGGGGAGGATGGGACTCCCGTTCAGTGCAGGGTGGCCTGTGGAGGGAAATGCCGAGAGCACCAGCCTGGGAAGGGCCTGCTGGGAGAACCTGGCTCTGGCAGCCGGATTTTTCAGCTGTCTTTCTGTCTGTCTTCCAGATGATGTCCCTATACGGACCTGGTTCCCAAAAGAGAACCTCTTCAGTTTTCAAACTGCTACCACAACTATGCAAGCGTAAGTGAAACGACTGCTCTGGTTTCGGTCCCGTATCTCGGAGCGTGGGCTCCACCCGGAGCTGTATGGCAGAGCCCGGAGCGCTTGCGTTTGACACCGAGATTGGGAGCGAGCGCCTCGTCTCTCTTTCCTGCGCTCCTAATTTCTCTTCCTGCTGCTCCTACGTGCTTGTTTTCCCTTTCCCTTCTCACCTGTTGGCCGCCCAGCCCTTCCCCACGTCCCTGGTTTGCTCTGTGACACTGGGCCCTGGCCACCTGTGGAGACCCCTCCGCCATTTGCTGCCCGGAGGAGCGGGCCGGTCGGGGCCTGGCGCCACCCGTCGCTGCGGAGGTTACGCGTCTCTGTGGCACGAGGGGCCGGCCCGCAGCCTCTGTCGCTTGAAGAGGTGTTGGTGAAATCTCTGAGGAGTGGCAGGGGACTCCCGGTTCTCCATGGCCTCTCCCTTCCCACTGCGCTCAGGATTTAGTGCCCCAGGTTGCTGCTGTGGTGTGGGGGAAGCAGTTCCCAAGGGACTGACGAGAGTGGGCAAAGCCTGGGTTTGAGGTAGTGCTCAGCTTGTGTGGTAAAAGCTTCACTAATGCCCACCTCTCTGAAAAGCTAAGGCAGATGACGAGGAAAATGAGAAGGTGTTTGGTCTTCTGAGACCTTTTGCCAGCCCTGTAACCTCCTTCCTGTCCATGTCTGTGTTGCTCTCTGCTCTGCTGCTCTCCATTTCTCCTCCTCTCCCTTCCATAGTTATCTTCTGTTGTCTCCTCTTGCCCACATGCCTTGCCTTCTGCAGAGGAGCTGCTTGCTTGGGTTGGGATAACAGGAGCGGAATTGGGCATGTAAGGACAGAGGGAGTTGGACTGAGCACTGCTCGGCTCGGGACGGGGTGCTGGGGCCCTTGGGCAGCGCGAGGGCCGTTTGGAGCATTTTTGCTTTTCTCTTTGCAAACATTGATGGGAAACAGGGGCTTTTGTTTTACAGTCCTGATCTGTACAGCTGTGCAAGTTTGTATTTCGGTACAAATACAATTGTGTGTTCTCCAAAGCCACATGGTGCTTAATTTGTGACCAAGCCACATTTTGACACTGCCCCAGGGAGGATTTAGCTTGGTGAAGTAGGAGATTCCCCATTGAAAACTGCCTAGTTTAAAAAGCCATTTTCTTCCACTCAACAGGAAGTATTTGCTCCTCTGGAGTGAGGAGTCCCTCAGGTTGCTGCCTGGGCTTAAGCACTAATGAATTCCTCTTCTTTTTCTTTTTCCCTTGCGTTTCCTGGAATCTCTAGCATCTCGTAAGTACAATCTGTTTTGTTGTGGTGATTTTCTTTTTCTTTTTTTTTTTTGTTTGTTTTTTTGTTTTTTGTTTGTTTCCTTGTCTGTTGATGTCCTGGATAACCTCCTTTCCTCTCCTGTCTGTCGTACTCATTCGTGCTTTCCCTGTGCTAGGGCTGCTTGTCAGCTGGCAAGAGCTTAGGCAGCTGCACTTAGGTCTACATGGACTGCGTTGCAGCCATCCTCATCTTCGATGTGAAGGCTACAGTTGCTCATGTGCCTCTGTGCTTCTTGGTCCTGGTGTACAGAGGTTTTGTCTGTGATTTCCTAGGTCTCTTCCTCAGTAGCAGGGACTGATGGCTCCTCATCCCCCATCTTTGGGCCACCCTCTAGCCACTCACTTTAGGAACAACGGTTTCTCTGGCCACCTGCTCGAGAGAGGGAGGACCTCTGGTTTGGTGACTTGTTTTGCCTGGTCCTTGACTCCCACTCAGTTCTGCAAGGCTTGGCTCTCCTCCTCAGTCAGCCTAACCTCTCTGTTGTCTGGTGAGAGCTTCCTCTCTTGTCTATGTGTTTCGTGTCCTCCCCAGTTGAAAGCTGCGTAGTTGGTTAATGGCTTAAAATGGTTTCCCAGGGCATTCAGGGGCTACGCAGAGAGGAAGAGACGGAAACGAGAGAATGATTCGGCAGCTCTTATACAGAGGTAGGGCCCATTTCCCCGCAGCCCTGACCCTGCCTGGTGTTGCATGGGCCCGTCGGGTGCTGTTAGTGACCTCAATGACGTTGACCGTGGTTGTCCCTGTCTGTGTTGCTGTTCAGTAGGGACATCAGCAGCGGTGGTGGAGGAACCATGGAGGTGAATGACACTGTGGTACCCAAAGTGGCTCAGCTCTGTGTTCTTGGGCAACACTGCTGAGTTTCTCTTGTGCTTCCATACCTATTATTCAGGGTTTGTCAGGTAGAAAAATGGATGTGTCCAACTTGAACTCCTCCCTACTATTTGGGATTTTGAGGTTGGCTGAACGTGAAGCCTGTTAGCTGGGCTGCATCTGCAGGTGCTCCTCAAAAGCTGAGACCTAAGCAAAGGTGACATCTCTAATGACCAAAAGTCAATTTTGAATCATTTTTATTGAAGGACAGAGAGGAAAGGAAAGAGGACGGGGAATGATTCCTCGTGTGCTGGTGTTATAGGAGGTTTCTGGTTTCCCTCTGCTGGCCTTGCAAGGCGCGACACATAACACGGTAGTCAGAGCTCTTTTGGTGTCTTAACTGTGCCAAGGCTAATGTATTTTGGCAGCCACCTAAGCAGCATAACGCAGCATTTGTGATTTGTGTCCTTGGTTAAAAACTGCTGTGGTGACTTCAGCACTGTTCAAAACAGAGTGGGAGAAAATCATCAGGGTTTTGGACCTGGGAAATTGCCAGGATTTTTTCTTTTTAATCATCTGAAGATTTTTTTCCCTCAAAAAAGAAGGGAAATAGCAAAAGCAAAAGACTCTTTAAATGAATAGGCAGCATCATTTTTAAAAGAGAGACATTTCCCGGAGTTGAGTTTTTGTTAAAAAATGACTCGTTTTTGTGGCTTTTGACGCAGGAGCAGGAGTGGGGCGCATGGGTGACGCCAACTAGGTCGGAGAGGAGGCGGTCGCCGCGCCCTGGCTGAGCGGGCAGTGTGTCCCGGGGGACAAGGCAGGCCGGGGCACAGCTGCGAGCAGGAGCAGTCTAGGTCTGTGCGGTGCTGAAGAGGAGGCAGGCGCGTCCCGAGGGCCGGTGCTGGCTGGGGGTGGCCCTGCCGCCGCGCTCGGCTCTCTCCCGAGCCCTTTTCCGCCCCTGGGCGCTCTGTGCCGTGTGCTGGTGCCCAGCGAGGGCGGGCGGCGGGCGCAGCATCGTGCTGCCGCGGCGGGCGCTGCCGCGCGCCGTGCCCGCCCGTGTGCCGGGGCTCGTGCAGGCAGGACCCGAGCGTCACGAGCGTGTGCAGAGGGTGAATCGTGCACTCATCATGGTGGGAAGAGACCCTCAAGATGATCGAGTCCCACCGAGAGGCGTCGTGGGTATTTTGCTGAGAGCTGAGGGACTTCGGTAATTCTCTCGGTGTCTCTGGCCGTTATTTGGTGAGTGAATGAGGCAGGCAGGGCTGTAGGCAGGGGCTGCCCGGGAGGAGCAGCCCGCGCGGGATGGGCATCGTGGGGGCAGCAGGGTCTGTGTCCATGGCCGTGCGCGGGAGCCTGCTAGGAGGAGGAGAGTTGTTCAGCAGAGGGGTCATGAGGAGCCTTTGCTGCTGACTGCAATTTAAGTGGGGCTTGTTGGATCTTTGATGGGTGAAGAGCCCTTGCCAGTGATCAAGTAACACTGGTGCAGTTGATGGAGGCAGACAGGGAGCCTGGGCAGGTTTCTGTAGCCCCAGTGCCCGCGGAGCACAAAGAATGTGCCAGCTTCCCCTAGGATATTGTGTTTATTTAGGTTTAACAGAATGCGACAGGCCGGGATATTGGTCTTCACACACCCCGGAGGGCTTTGCATGCAGAGCGAGCCCAGCGTCTGTTTATGAAGCATCTTGGCTTCCTCTTTGAAGAAGTAAATCTTCCTGTGTCTGAGTAAAGCTCAAATAAAGCTCTGCAAGGGAAGAGAGGGGCAGAAGGTGGTACAGGTGAAGGACTGCCCTCCCAGGGGGTGTGTTTGGCTTCTTCTCTCTGCATTGAGGTAGAGAACTCGACTTGCTCCAAACTATTGAGTGTCTGTGTTGGAAGTATCTCCTATTTAAGTAAATTTGCTTGCGTGTCTACACATCTGTAACGTGTCCTTATTCATCCCAGCTGCTTGTGTGAGCTGGATGACTTGTCCTCTTCCCTGGCTGAAGTCTCTTGTTGCTTGTTGTCCGAGGTGTTTGTTGGTGGGGCAGGAGGGAGTCTAGGAAGTGCCCAACTCTGCATAGGCTGCTGGGGGTCACCGATGTCCCCACAAAGGCTGCAGTACAGGACAGAGTGACCTTGACTAGGTAGAATTTGAGGAGGAGCGGGCCTTTTTTTACTAGTCCACCTGCTACTCACTCCCTCTGTCCTCTCTGCTGTCCTGTTTGGTTCCTGTCCTGTTTGGTTCTTGGCTGAGTGAGCGACAAGAAGCCCCGGGAAGTGGTGGGCTGGATGAGGAGGTGCTTGGCCGTGGGCTCTGCCCGCATGTGCCGCGGTGGGCAGGTTGCTGCAGGCCGGGCATGTGGGCCTGTTCCACCTTGCTGAGCGCAGCTATCCAAGGTGGAAGAAGCTGCTTCCGTGTTTCCTGGCTCTTTGGCCTGGCAAGCAGCGCAGTCTGCACGGGTGCTGGCCGCACTGCTGGGGTTTTAGCAGGTGCTGTGAGTGCTGGGGTGAGAAGCTCCATAGCACGGTATGTTCATGATGCTGGGCATGGGGGAGCCTGGCAACCCTGCACTTTCCATGTATGGAAAAAAGGAGAGAGGGGAGCAGGTCCTGCGCTTACCGAGAGAAGAGGGAACGATGCCGGTGTGAACAGCATCCGTGTGTTCAGCAGAGATGCCTTAGGAAAGCGGGAGCTTTCCTAAGCTCCCAAAACAGGAGGGCCCAAAACAGGAGGGCCTGAGCAGGGCATTGCCATGTGGGACTTTACTTGCCCTCCAGTCAGCCCAGAGATGCCTAGAAGGAAATAAGCTGCCTTCCTATTTTAATTTTTTTCCAAGCTTTTTCAGTCCTGCTGGGCCTGGGTGTTCCTCTACATTGCCTTTCCTCAAAGGTTTTGTTTGGCTTTTCTTTCAGGAATTTTCGGAAGCATCTCCGCATGGTGGGGAGCCGAAGGGTTAAAGCACAAAGTAAGTGAGAAACTGCAAAATGTGGCTGTGAGAGATTGGGGTTTGTGCCAGTGGGACAAGGGAGTCCCATGTTGTGTCCAGACACTGATAGAAAGGACCCAGCCATGGGCCCAAGAAAAGATTTACCCCATTGATGCCATTTTACCTGATGAAAAGGAGGTCAGGTTGGTGCAAGTCTCCAAGATGCAGCCATTTCTGCGAGTGGATTTCAAGCTACGTCCAAGGAACTTCTGCCATGGTTGTAGGAGATCTCTGGGCCTCAGGCCGGGGTGGAAGGAGCGCTGCCCGTCCGTGTCCTCGTCCCACGCGCAGCTTTGGGCGCTGATGCAGAAGCTCGTGAGCAGCAGCAGAGCAGAGAGGCCAGCAGAGCGAGGAAGGGCTGCCCGGCCTTCTGCCGAAATTAAGGTCCTGCTGCGGCCGCCCAAGGACACTCAGTGCTTCGTGTGCTGCGTCAGCCGGGGCCTCTTCTCTTCCCCCGTCCCAGCACCATCTCTGGGGAAGGTTGCCCAGGTGGATGAGAGGAAGGTTGAGGGGAGAAAGAAGAGGAACATGCAGAGAAAAGAGATCAGAGCAAGGGAGGGAATTAAGGGAGTGTTATCCCTCACTGGAAGAAGAGCTCTTGACCCTAGGGAATGGGAATCCTCTTTGAGGAAGTCACCAAACGTTGGCTGGGGCAGCTGCCTTAGTGCTGCAAGCTGCCCAGAGCTGAGAACAGTGTAACCAGTTCCTGAGTGATGAGGTTTCTTTCAGAAGAGGAGAGAGCTTGTTCTTCCCTCCCTGGCCAGCCATCATGCAGGGACTACCCAGAGCAAGGTGTTGCTGAGCTGGGTTTGCATCCTTCTCTCCCTCACATGCTTTGGGAAGTTGATAGCATTGTCCTCGGAAGTGTCTTTATTGGCATCTGAGTTAGCACTGCCTAAAGTGAACAGGACCCACCTACCCCAGAGCTATCTGGATGTTCAGGCACATCTCTGCTTTGGTAACTCTCGGGTCATGTTTTCAGAGCATTCTGCATGGGCATATTAGCTCAATGCCTGGTTTGAAACGAAAGCTAAAAATGGGGAGCACCCAAAGGGCTTCCCATGTGGTTTGTCCCCCTGGAGAATATGCCACATGTGGACTGCGGTGGGGGACAGGTTGCCTTGCAGCCCTGTAGCAGCTCTGCAGTGAGTGCTTGTGCTGCTGACATGACGTGTCATTACTCGATAAACCACAGCAAGCTTGGTGTGTGTTCTACTAGAAATGGATACGAAGCTAAGCTATAGCTCTACATTGCTGTTAATCTAATGGCTGTCGTGCCTGCTTGCCAAGTTAGACATCATGGTTGGCGGTTCCTAGGAATTTGTCAAAGGGGCAGCCAGCTGGGCCAGAGCTCCCTGGATTCTGCTGGGGAAAAGCCATAACAAGAAATGCATCTGTGGCAGGAAGAAAAGGAGGAGAAGAACTGCCCATCATATTCCTGGCAAGCAGAAACTGAAAGAATTCTTCTTTTCCAACAAAATTCAGGAACCTTACGCTTTCCGGTGGCCTTTCTGTTCAGTCTTGCTCAGATTAGAGTATCACTAAAATGAGAAAAGGGTACCCAAAAACATATGAAGGGAGAACTGACAGGCTGACTACTGCCTTTTTCTCATCACATATTTGTCGTTAGATATTGAGGCCTTTGAGTGAGGGCATTTACACCGAGACACTGGAATAGCCCTGGTTAAATTGAGCTGTGAGGAGAGACCATCAAGAGCCCTCCTATTTCTGTGCTCCCTTCTCCACAATGGCTCTGCTGAGGAAGTGGGCACTTCGTGTGCTGCTGTCTGGAAGACAGACCCTTATTTTGCTCTTGGAGAGGACTCTTATAATGCAAGTAGAAGAAAAAGCACAGGGGAGTTCGTGTTGCTTAGCTTTGATGGAAATCTGCTGGATGTTTTGTTGTGCTGGCAGCAACAGAGGTGGCTTTGGAGTCTGTTAATGTCATGCTTTGGTTTTATCCTAGCATTTGCCGAACGGCGTGAGAGGAGCTTCAGCAGGTCCTGGAGTGACCCGACTCCCATCAAAGCTGATTCCTTCCATGACTCTCGAGAAAGTGAGTTCTGAGTCCTTTGAGCTTCCTCCTGTGGCCAAGCGCTCCAGCAGAGGCGTTCACTGGAGTCCCTCTGTGTCCTTTTTCCCCTCACTGTGATTCTTTAGTTTCACAAGATGTAAGGAAATAGCACTCCAGGTATATGCACATGTTCACCTGTGTGCACCTGTGTTTCCGTATAGATGCGCTCGTGCTCTAACCTCATTTTCTGTGCAGTTGCCAAAGGACACCCAGTGGTACAGCTCTCTTGTGGCCGTCTGTTCCCATCCTACCTTATTTGCTTGGCATCAGGCAGCTCCTCTGGAAATGCTGGCACCTGCCAGGCCAGGCTGCAGTCCCTGCGGTGGGCTGAGCCGCCCAGCTGCCCACGCAACAGCCTTTTCTGAGCTCCTTCTCAGGCCATGGGAGCTCTGAGCAGAGCCGCAGCGCTCCGGGACATGTAGCTTTGATTTCCTGCCCGTGTTTGCTGCACAGGTGATGGCTTGGGGCAATCTGGTCTCTGTCTGGGCTGCTAGGAATTCTGCTGGAATCCCCTCTGGTGCTGCAGTTTGCTGTGTGCAGGTCCGAGATGCTGCTGTGTTAATTTGAAGGAGGAAATGCCAGCATCTTCCCACTGTCTTTTTGTAAAGTGAAGGGCTTTTTTTGCCTGTCTACCCAGATCTTTTTGAAGTCCTCTTTGGACGTAGTGGATGTGAGTTTGCCCATATGGAAATGGGTTATATCATAAATGAATTTCACCAATGAAACGTACTGACCTTGCAGGTAAGCTCAGGGTTCAGCGCTCCTCGCTAGAGAGGACACGGCACCAGGTTGTAGGGAAAGTTGTGTGAAAAGGCAGGTTCAAAACATGACCCGACTGTTCCTTTGCAGTTTGTGTGCTCTCCACACCCTCAGCTAACTCAGAAGCAAATGGAAAAGACGTGGTTCAGACAGGCATGATCTGTCCTCCAGACGCTGCCCAGTCACATTCGGACATCCCAAAAGGCACAAGTAGAGACATCTCGGTTTTCTTCCTTGGTCCCTGACTTCAGGGAATCCTTCTTTCTATTTTTAACTTTTAACAGTCAATTATATTCCTTCCAGATGTTTTTTTCCCCCAGGAAGCTTTGAAGGCCAACAGGTAAGTTGCAGAGCAAATTCAAGTATACAGTTGCATTCCTACTGTGTTTGCTGTGGCTGTCCTTGTACTCTGGAACTTCTCTGCCAGGATCAGCTCGACTAACAAGGTGGAGCTTCTTTAAAACCATTCAGAAGATGGAGTCAGAGAAGAAATTATTTCAAGGAGAGCAGCTTTGAAGTCCTGGGTCCGTTGCTCATCCACTTGGCAATGTTGAAGTGTGGAGAGCTTTTTTCCATTTCACCCCCTTTGGTATTTCTGAAATGACAGGGGAGTTGTTGTGAGTTAGTGTTTGAAAGCTAAAACTGGTGATTGTGAGAGTGATGAAAATGTTATGTGATATGTGTTATCAGGCTGTGTCTGTGTACGCTGACTTGTTAATGCTGTTTGTTTAGAGGTGCCAGCCTTGAAACGTGGTGTCTGTCACTCTGTAGGAAAGGAGGTCACAAGTCTCACGGCTTGTGGTACGTCTTGCAGTGTAGCTGCCAGCCAAAGAAGACAGAGTGGCAAAGGCAGGCTCTTCTGCCCTTGTAATGCACGCTGTTTCTGGCAGGCCATGACCTTCAGGATTCTTGTGGCACTTTGGATGGTGACTTTGACTTGAACTGGGAAGCAGAAAAGGAGATTGAAGCCATGGCGTGTGACGGAGAAGACTTTATTCCACCAAAAATAATGGTGAGGCTTTCCTTCTTGGGTACCTTTGTCTGCTCAGACCCTGTCCCTCTCCTCAGAGCTGCTAATTTTAGGATGTTTATGTAGAAGAGACAGGGTTTTGGTTACCTGTAGGTGACTGCAAGTGTGTACAAGTGTCGCTTGGAGATCAGCAAGACATGACATGGTCTTCAGCATTTATTGTCGCTGGAGATAATGTATTAAAAGAAAACAAAACAAAAGAAAAAATAGTCCAACCCCTGCTGAAAGTAGAACTGTCATCAAGACAGGTTCATGATGAGCCTTGACTACCCAGTGATGAAGGACTGAGTCCAAAGTCCCGTCAGCTCCTGCAGGAGCTGCTGTTGCTCCCCTGTTTGTTTTTTGCCCTGGAGCAGTGTGCCACCCTGGAGGTGCTGCCTGCTCTTTCATCGCTTCTAGATGTTGGGTGGCCCCGGTGCCCTCCTGCGGCCCTTCAGACAGGGCCAGGTTCTGGCACACCCTTCCTTGGAAAAATGCACAAGTCATCAGCAGAAGCAGAGCCTGGAGCTGCCTGCTGGGGTTCAGGGCAGCGCTGTCGCCCGGCACCGCTGCGTTTGAACGCTTGGGGGAGTAGGGGCATGGAGACGCTCTGCTTGTGTACTTCACAAAAGAGGTGTTTTTTCTGGAGTCTGAGCAGAAAGATGGAAATTTGAGGCCAAAATAACACCTTGTGTGTGATTGCTCTGTGTAAATATGGGGAGGACTTAAAAACATGCTTGTCATAAAGTCCCGTGGTTACTTGGGGTAGAAAGAGTCGAAGTCTGTGACTTACTCCATAAATTTCACCTGAATTGAAGGCCCGGAGGAAGTTGTCTCTGAACAGGCACCTCAGCAAGGGGCAGAACTGCTGGGTTCAGACGAGCCTCTCTGCCACTGCTGCTCCCTTAGCTCTTCTGGGCCTGGTGTCCTCAGCACAGCCTGGGTGGCAACCAGGAGCCTGGAAGCAGCAGTTGAAGCCGCAGCAGAGCACAGCCCCTCAGAGAGCAACCAAGCCGAGACGGTGCAGCGCTGTCCCCAGCCTTGCCACGGGCACGTGCACGAGGCCCCTGTCACCATCTGTTTATCAAGTCTTGCTTGGCTTGAAACCAGTTGGGTGGTGAGAGGAGGATGAGCCCTGGCCAGAGGGTGATGTCCATGAGGACGGGTAGGAAAGGGCTCCTCGTTCTGCGTTCCACCTTGTGTCTCCCCAGCATGCGGCCAGGGCTGCTGCCTGCAGACACTCTCCTGTGTAGCGGTAGCTGGGGGCCCGGGGCTCCCTGCGGTGCCCCAGAAGCTCAAAGGCCCTTCCGTAGGGATGCAGATAGGCTGGATTAGTCACTGCTTTTGGTAACACCTGGAAGTGACGGAACAGGATGCTGTTGTCTTGGCCTCTGTGCTTTTGTCCAGCCTCTATTACTCCTTCTCACCCTGGTGCCCTTGTTTCTTGCAGCTCATTTCTTCCAAGGTGCCCAAAGCTGAATATGTCCCAACGATTATCCGCAGGGACGACCCTTCCATCATCCCCATTCTCTATGTAAGTAATATCGTTTCTGCTACATCTGGGTGCATGGGAACTGGCTCCATACAGTGATTTATTCTGTTCCTGTGTCCAGCTCCTGGCAGGGTGATTCTGGAACGCTGATGTGATTTGGAAAAGCTGCCAGGAAAGGGCAAGGGTGTTTGGGGGGCTCAGATTTATTGGGGCAGCTCTCTGGGGGCTCAGTCCAGGTGGAAGGACAAGGTGGAGTGAAGACAGCACTTGTGGCTGCCTGGCTGCAGGCAGAGCTACGTAGTATGGAGAGGTGAACAGGGAAAGCAGGGCAAGCCTCAACACCCAGGCAGAGCTGTGTGTTGCCAAGCTCAGGACTTCTCCTTATGCCCCTCCTTAGAGAGTAGAGGGCTGCAGGCTCCACAGTGGCGCGTGGACTGACCCATCCTGCCCTGCACGCTGCTGCATCCCTGCCAGTTGTGAATTTAACCTTGATTTTTCACACAGGACCCCTCACCAGGAGTCTTACCTGAGCAGGTGTCTGAAACACCAGCAGCGAATCATGGATCCCTTTTCCTTCTTGCTTTATATTCACATAATGGGAAAGGGAAGGGTTGGCCTGCCCAGAAAGCTTGGTGCCAATGTGCAGCAGACTCTGCTGCTGGGCATCTCGCCCTGTGGCCTCTGTAGCCTCACAACCCTTCCCTGAAGAGCTGGACTGTTGCCGTGATGGTGCTGCTGGGCCCAGGGGCAGAGGGGCCAGGTTGTTTGTTGGCCAGCTGGTGCTGATTATATCTAATGGTGTTTGCACTGGACCCATGTCTTCCTCGTCAGTTTAGAGGATTAATTTTCAAGTCTTCAGATGGACTTGGTCTTCATGAATCATTCAGCCTTCTGAGTCGGGGTTAGGGTGGTAATTCCCATGATTGTGCCTGGGGGCCATCAGCTGGCCTGTGTTTCCCTGGGAATGCAGCTGTGTGCTGTGCTAGACACATCTCGGTGGGTAGCATGGAAGCTGCTGCAGCGAAGCTGGTCTTGATAAACCTTGTGTTTACTTCCAGGACCATGAACATGCCACCTTCGATGACATCCTAGGTATGTGAGTGTTGCTTCCTTTTTCTTAACCTCTGCCCATTCCAAGTGTAACAGGGCAGTATGTTAATGTCACTCTGCTGCCTAGACCTATTCTGCAGGATTTGTTTCTAACTTCCTCCATGGCTCACCTTTCCCAATGTGCTTTTTTGCAGAGGAAATAGAGAAGAAACTTAACATTTATCGGAAAGGCTGCAGGATCTGGAAGATGCTAATATTTTGCCAGGTACGTGTTAGTTGTTAAACCCATGATGTTTATTACAAATTTGTCTCTGATGGGGAAAATTAAATGGAGGAACTGATCTTTCAAAGCCAGATTCTGTTAAAGTAGCTGTATGTATGCAACTTCCACTTCTCATTTCCCCAGAGAGTTCGTAATCCCTAAGCTGCTGTGAAGGCAGCAAATAAAATTTGATTTAGTGTAGTCAACTCCAGCGCTTGGTTGTTTCACAGCTGCTTTTGGGGAAACTGAGACAAACATTAAAGTGGATCTCAAAGGAGGCTTTATGAGAAAGGAACAGGGATTTGTGATGTGGTGTTCGTAGTTCTCATACAGCTTCACCATGACACTGACGGCGGCTGGTGCTGTGGATCAGACCCACGGGTGCCTTGGCTGGGAACGGTGGTGGAGACCAGCATGTTGCTGGAGAGCGGTCAGGGTACGAGCCTGGCCGGGCTGTGGGTGGGATAACTCTGCTCTGCCTGGTGCTGCTCTGGGGCTTCCTCTGCCAGCATCTGGTTCTCGAGGGCGGCCAGCTCTGGGTTCCCCAGCAGCAGTGCAGGGGGCCTTGAAATGAGAAGTTAGGGAGCTCTCCTAACTTGAACTTCCTCCCTATGCAGTTCACTGACCTGGAAATTGCAGCACTTAATTTTCCCGAATCTTGTGCTGGATCTTCTTGTTATTCTTCTAAACCCCACACTTTGGTTCTTAAGCAGGAAAGTTGTTGCTGCAGATCCCTGTTTTGCTCAGCCCTGGGTCTGCCCACCATGGCAAGTCCCGAACACCCTCACATGGAAGGGGCTTTCTTTGGTCTTCCCCGTTACTCTCCAGCCACCTCAGTGAAGTTTGGTTTTTGGTTGTTGTTTTTGCGTGCGTTTGGTTTTTGTCTGTTACTGTCTTACTAGAGTGTGGGGAGTTTTAAAATAGTAAAGAACAGGGAATCCAACCTGCAGCACGACTGTATGTGAATATTTCCCGCAGAAGGGCTGGAGGGCCTGTGCTGTGGGGGTTGCAGAAGCCGGGCCAGCCTGGCGGGTCCCTTCTGCTCCCTCGTGGTGCTCCTGGGTATGGCTGTGCAGAACCACAACCACACCAAGTGTGTCTCTTTAGGGCCTTTGCAGGCTGTTTCGCATCTCTCTCTCTCTCTCTCTCTCTTGCAGGGTGGTCCTGGTCACTTATACTTGTTAAAGAACAAAGTTGCCACCTTCGCCAAAGTGGAGAAGGAGGAAGATATGATCCTGTGAGTGGCTTGGCTGCACTGCAGTTTGCTCCTCAGTTTGCCCAATGACTGCAGCAAATGACCCACCAGGAGAGTGCAGGGAGCTGGGCTGGCTGCCTGTGGGGAAAAGGAAAGCAATGCGGAGGGGATCTAAGAGCAACTCCGTGAGGAGGCGTTGCAAAGATAACAGAATGAAGCTCCTCCAGGGTGTGGTGCAGCCCTGGGACGGCTCACCAGAAACCTGGGCACTCTCCAGCCTTGGAGGCTGTTGAGACTTAGCTGACCAGAGCCAGGGCAAACATGATGTCTTGTGGCCAACTGTCCTGCCCTCGGCTGGAGGTTGGCCTGGAGACCCCCAGAGATCCCTCCATCAGATACTTCCATGATTGTTTTCATGTTAACCCATTGTAGGGGGAACTGGTAGATTAATGTTTTTATTTGCTGTGTAGTGTGCCTGGGCTTTCAGCTATAAACTGGCAAAAGAGGAAAACCAAAACAAAACAGTTATCTCCTCAGAAAGGCTTTGCTGGCCACCGAGGTCCTTGTGCTGTTGTTGTGCTGGAGGTTTCCTTCCTGCAGCAGAAACCAGTGCGTGCGCTGGTGCCCCTGTCGCTCGGAGTGGCTGAGGTAGCGTTTCTAAGCAGGCGACTCGTGTCAGAAATCCAGGCTGTTCCCTATAGCTATCTGGAACTGCCCTCCCAAAGTCAGGGGGAAGTGGAGTCTGTCTCAGATCTCTGCAGAGCCAGCTCAAAGTCCAGCCTGTTCCTGTAAACAGGAGCTCACTGCCTGCGAGCTGGGGCAGCTGAGGCAATTCTGCTTCTCCTTGCAGAGTTCAACTTTGCTGCTTTGCTCTTTGCTTCCTTGTGCTGGCGCAAGCAACTGCACTTTGGTGTGGGGGAGAGCACGTGCACCAACCTGTTGATACCCAGCACAGTACTGGCATGAGAGCTGGGTATGAAAATCAGCATCTGTTCAACCCTCCTGCTCTGTCACAAACACTCACTGAAATTCCTAGGCACATGTGCACACACACGTGGCTTCTGAACAGCTCCAAGCACAAGTGATCTAAGCTCTGTAATTCACGGACCTTCAGCAAGCTGTGAGCACAGAGCTGAAGTTTGGCGTGTTGGAAGTGGGTGTTTCCGTGCAGTGTGTACATGCCTGGGGGAAACCAACGTGGCAACCAAAGATCCAATAACAAACTCTGCAGAGGAACCTACGGGCTTCAGAGCCCCCCGGTGATCTGCTGTGTCCCACTGTGCAGAGAAGTGCTTGTATCTCACAGAGCACCCGCTCAGCGGTGGCTAAATGTAAACCAGGTCTGGCTGACGCAGAGCTGTCTGTTCTGGTGTTGGCTCCGTAGCTGCATAGAAGAATAATCTCACCAGCAATTCCCTGCTGATTTCAGGCCCTGGGAATGAGCCTGTGAGCTGATAACGTTCCTGTTTAGAAAGGGTGGTGCTGGTATAAATGGAAGAGAGGAAATTGGAGGGAACTGACAGAAAAGGGGGAAAAAAAAAAAAAAAGAAAGAAAGCTTTGTATAGCTGCTAGTCAAGAAATCCTCCTGGTGGGCCTGTGGGCTTTGCTCCATTCTCTTCCCTTGGAACTTCCCGACCCCTTGTTTGTTGGATGGCTGTTCCTGCCTCACCGATGTGTGACTTGGACGTGCTCCTCAGGCCCTTGCTTTGCCTTTGCTCTTTCTTGTCCGAGAACCAGCAGCTATTTTCGGGGCAACTTGCTGTGGAGGTGCCAGCCACAGGTCTCTCCTGGCCAGTGCGTGCACTATTCTGGTGTATGAGCAGATAGATTTTTAAATGATCTGTTCGTTTCTGCCTGTTTCTTCCAGCTTCTGGAAGAGGTTGAGCCGGCTAATGAGTAAAGTCAATCCTGAACCAAATATCATTCACATCATGGGCTGCTATGTTCTTGGAAACCCCAATGGGGAGAAGGTAAGAACTTCCCAAGTTGCCTCTCTGGGAATCACAGAATCACGGAGTCACAGAATGGCTGAGGTTGGAAGGGGCCTGTAGAGAGCATCCAGTCCAACCCCCTGCTCCAGTAGGGACACCCAGAGCACGGGGCACCCAGCCATATCCACGCAGGTTTGGAGGATCTCCAGAGAAGGAGCCTCCACAGCCCCCCTGGGCAGCCTGTGCCAGGGCTCGGGCACCCCCACACTGAAGAAGTTCCTCCTCACGTGGAGATGGAACTGCCTGGGTTTCAACTTGTCCCCATGACCCCTTGTCCTGTCACTGGCCACCACCGAGAACAGTTTGCCCCTCCTCCCTCCATTCTCCCCTCAGGTATTTGTACATATTGATCAGATCCCCTCTCAGTCTTCTCCAGGCTAAACAGGCCCAGCTCGCTTGGTCTCTCTTCATATGAGAGAAGCTCCAGTCCATTCATCACCTTTATTGTCGTCCACTGGCCCCTCTCTAGCAGCTCCACATCCCTCTTGTCCTGGGGAGCCCAGCGCTGCCCCCAGTGCTCCAGGTTTGGCCTCCCCAGAGCTGAGCAGAGGGGCAGGATCCCCTCCATTGACCTACTAATAACCACTAAGTAGCAGTGAGTCCGGGGCGAGAGGTCTGGCCGCCCCTTTGTGCTGAGCAGAAGCGTGAATGGATGAACAGCCCCTGTCCCGGAGGGCACACGAGGAATGGGTAGAGCAACAGGCGTGCAGGAAGGAACGGAGCCATAAGGGGGTATAGGCAGTCCAAGCACTTTTTGTTTGGTGATGAGCTAGGTGTTTGCAAGGGCACTTAGTGTGAGGTTTTCTAGAGGTATGGAATAAGGCTGGGCAGTCCTGGGTGTCCTGGAGTTATTCACTGTTTGCAGCTGCTAACCCATAAAATGTTTTTGTTTCAGCTATTTCAGAATCTGAAAAACTTAATGAATCCTTACAGGGTTGCCTTTGAGTCTCCACTTGAACTATCAGCTCAAGGTAACTTCTTCTCTGTACAAACAAGCGCGCCTTCCTAATCAGCCTATCTCGTTCAGTGAGCATCATCATTAAAAAAAAAGGGAGCAATTTTCAGTTCCCTTGTGCCCTGCCAGGAGAAAAGCACCTACCAGAGCCTTCCTCTTGCTTGCAATCCCCTTGGGGTGTCATATGCAGAACCTAGTTTCTCCCTTGCAGTTCTTTGTTGCTGTTTTCCGCTTTGTTGTGTTGGCAGCTGCAGAGCCCCTTCCCCGGCTGCGGGCGTTGGCAAAGTGGGCTGAATGGCACCGTGCCCTGTGGGCCGAGTGCGGGAGACTCGCCCTATTGCCAGGGCACGTGGCATCCGTGGGAGAGATGAACGTGGTAGGAGAACCCTGTCTGCCACCAGGTTTCTCCAAAGGACTCAAACCAGGGGCACCAAGCGGGGTGAAGCTCCAAAATGCAAGAGCTTCTTCCTTTTCGGTCAGTCTGGGTAATTATAGGTGAAGTTTAATGAGGAACATGTAGTCAGCTTGTGCTGAAGTTGCCACGGACCTTGCTGCTCTGTTCTTTGGGAAGATAAAGAGCTCGAGCCTTAGCCTTTAATCACTGGGGATACTCCCTTTCCCGTCCACTGCTGCGCTCAGCACCCATGAGTTATTCTGAGCTCCCGCTCGCTGTCGTGAGGAGCCGAGCGTGCCAGCCGCGCACAGGGCGCTCGGTGCAAGTGCTGCTGCCATTGGGACCGGCTTTATCCAGCGCCTCTGCTGCTCTCTCAGCAACCCTGTTTGCATACGTGGGCGGGAAGGACCTTGCAGGGGAATGTCTGGCTTTGTAAACAGCCTGGCAGGTGAGGTGGTGGGTTCTGCATACGTGTGTTTCCAAGCAGCTGATCTTCCAGGAAGTTGGGCTGAAGAATTTATCCCTTTCGATCGATCTGGGACACGCCAAGAGTATAACCTCCCTAATCCTTTGCAAAGTCATCTGAAAGTAATCTTAATCGGCCCTCAAAAGTGAAAATCCCTTCCCTGAGCCCTGTGCTGGCGTGCAGGGCTGTTTGGCCCCGGTGCTTTCAGGTACCTCTGTGGCCTCCAGCAGCAGCCCTGCATGGCCGTGGGTCTGTGGCTGCCTGCGAGACGTCCCCTCGCCCTCCTGCTTTCCAGGTCACAACACGTGTTGTGTCAGGCTGCTTGCTGCAAGGAGGGGGCTCTGCAGGGCAGAGAGACCCTGTTAATTCTCCCTGATAATTCTCCCACAAAAATCTTTGTTTTGAATTTTAAACTGTTTTACTTTTAACACTTCCCACAAACCATTACACTTCAGGGTTTGTCATCTTCCAGCATCCCCGTGCCTGCAGAGCCTGGAGCTGCCTACACCCCACAGAAGGGCAGTTTAAAAGCACTCCCAGCTGAAGGGAAGGACTTTTGTTGTTGCACCCCATGCCCAAACGCTCCGCTTGAGGGTTTTCAGCCCTTCTATGGGCTCATGGTTGTCTCGTGCGGGGTGTTGGGGCTGCTGCTGACACCTCCTGTCCCTCGTCTTCGCAGTCGCTGTAGAGAAGCCAAAGTCTCGGGACAGGCGATGCTCAGTTTCCACCTCCGTGGACAGACCCTGCCAGGGGGTGTTGAGGAACCTTTCTGTGTCTGAGGATACCTAAAGAGATCCTTGGGGCTCACGGGTACTTCTGTGTACGTGCAGCATGGCAGTATTCCTCCAAGGAGGCCCCCACGTGGGCTCTCCCGTGCCCATACGTGTGGGTGCACTTGCTGCTGCTGTGACCTCTCTGCTGTCTCCCTCGTGCTCAGGGTGTAACCCCTCTGCTTCATCTCCCTTCTCCTAGGTAAGCAAATGATTGAGACTTACTTTGACTTCCGCCTTTACCGCCTCTGGAAGACCCGCCAGCACTCTAAGCTATTGGATTACGATGACATTTTATGAGCTGGAGAAGACTTTGCTGAGGAGAAGTTGATCACCGGTGTCCAAGAAGTCGTGCTTACCGCAGAGAGACTTTTTTATTGGCACAGGGAGCCCTTCAAAGCCCTAGGGGAGGCAGCAGTGCTAGAGGAGGGGAAGAAGGAGCCCTCAGAGGTGTATGCGGAGGAAAGTCTCCTGAGTCGAGAGAGACTGGAGGGAAAGGCTTTGGCGCCTCGCTCGCCTCGGGCAGAGCTGCGGTGGCGCCGGAGGCGCTGCGTGAAGCGAGGACAGGATGGAGTTCCTTGCAGAACTGAGCTGTTTTGGGTCACAATGGGCCAGATTTGATTCCAGGTCCTTTTAAAGACTTTTGAAGCTCAGGTTTTCTTACAAAAAAAAAAAAAAAAAAATTACCCATGCACTACAGTAAAGAAGTGACCAGAGCACAGAGGAAGGAGAGGTTTGTACTGATGGGACCTGCTGTGCTGGGGATCTTGGAGAGCAAGGACTGCTACACCTACTCCTGCAACCTTAGAGCGAAACGATCCAGTTCCAATGTGAATATATACTGGAATATAGAATTGACATTTAACTCTTCATTTTGTTTAATAGAAAATAAGTGCAATTTTTATAGAGAGAGGGATAAAAACCCTCCCAATAATTTAATTAGTTAAAAATAACACATCAGTAACCAATAGATATTTTTGGTCTGCTTGAAAATATATTCAAAATGGTAATATATCTTCTGTAGACATATTTAATCACCAGCAAACATGGTTTTAACGTAACTTAGCAGACGCTGCATGTCTGCTGCATTGATGAAGCCAGTTTGGTTTGGTACTTTCAGAGTAGCTGTGTTGCACTGATTGTATGTGCTCTCACGAATGTATATTTCTCCTCCAATTAGACACAACTTTGTTACTCTTTTGCTGCTTGCAAAACTATACGCCACTAGTTTTGCCGGAGTCCTTTTAGGTTAGAAATACAGTGACGTGGCTGCGAACTCGGTGAGGTTTGGTGCGGTGTAAAGGCGAAGGAGAAGGGAATGCCCGGGGTCCCACACGGCCGCGCAGCGCTTGGCCGCAAGGTGGGACACGGGGCCGGGGCCCGTGGGCGTCCGGATGCGCCGTGTCCCGGCAGCCGCGGGAAGCGGCGCTGCTCCAGATGCAGCAGCCGGCAGTTTTCCCTGTGCTTTGTGCATCCGCCACCTCCTTCCCCCTGCTCGAGGGGAGCTGTTTGTGGAGGCCGGCTGCCGCCCTGCGCATCCCGCCCCACGCAGCACAGAGTAGCCCGGGGCTTTGTGAGAGCAGCTGTGGCTTGAGAACCCGGGCTTGTTGTTAATATTTGAGGGTGCATCGGGGAGTAATTCACGTTTCCTTTGCTGGAGCGGGTGGGTTTTGCTGCTCTTTGGGAGGCTCTGTAGTCTTCAGCGCGCCTGCTCAGAGGATCGACGTTCCTTAAAGTCTGCCCAAGTCACCTGCCCATTCTGGGGGTCACCGATTCTCTGGAGAAGACGGGGAAAGGTGACCTTGTTTTCCTGACCTCCCACCATCTAAAACAGTTGTTTGTGAAGTGAAAGCAAAAACACGTACAAATCTTTTAAATATTTAGCAAAAAGAACTACTTGTTCTGATCTGCAGAGGACTCCTTCCCTCCGCGCCGTGTCTGTGGTTGTCACTGTGGGGAGCAGCCCCCCGGCCGGACCTGCTGCACCCTCTGCGTTTCTGGTAGTCATATGAGCTTCTGAAGGGACGGTGGACATAGAGCACGGAGGAGAGGACGGGGTGGAGGCGGCTGGTTGAAATGGGCGTGTGGAAGGCGTGGGGTCGGAGCTGCTCTGCTGTCCCGGAGCCTCCGCGCGGCGGCCTCGTCCCGCATGGACTCGGAGTCGTGTTTTGCAGGCAGCGAAGAGGAGAGCACACACGGGCAGGCTCCTGGAGAAGACCTCAAAAAGCCACCACTAGCAGAAAAGCGACGTCGGTCGGCTCTGCCTTAGCATGGGTGGCTTCTGCCAGCTGTATATCCTTGAGAGGTGGGAGCCGGAGCTGCTGGCAAAGCAGAAAGACACGTTTTTGAGAGAAGATGATGATGGTGGCAGGATGAAAGCGCTGACACAAACCTCTCCCTTTCTGCCCCTTTCACCTCCCGTGTTTATGCTCCAACCAGAGAAAGACAAACTGCTTTTCCTCTCTCCTTCCTGAAATCGAATCCCAATTTAGTGAACTTGGTAGCATGAATGTAGCATTGTGGAACTCATATATAACTCTGAAAGGGCCCGTTTGTGTATCCTCTTGGGTGATTTACCTGTAGAACTGCTGTATATCTGTTATTCTTGAGCGCCTGTAGAGCTAGGGTTGCAAAGTAGCGAGGTAGCTTGTACGGCTGCAGATCTTGTGTAGGAAGATGCTGGAATGAACCTCACGGACTGTTCTGCCGGTGCAGTTGATTATAGTAGAGTGTTAATGCTGAATGGTGAAAATACATTTCTCTTGTTTCCAAAGATCTGTATCCCACATGGCTTGTGATGTTAGGACATGAGCATATTATTTCCTTTGTAGTGTTTGTTTGACTGAAGCGGTGACGTTCTTGCAAACCGCCCTAGGAAGGACCATGGCATTTTGAGGACCTTTGTGCAAATCAACCATTGGAGTTGACCCTTTCTGAAAAGGAACAACAACCACCAAGTCTTCCCCCTTGAACCTGTTGAATTCTTTTAAGCGCTGCAGGGAAAGGGAGGGCTCAGCGGAGGATGAGATGAGGGGAGCAATTAGCCCCGCAGCCCTCACTGCGTTTTAAACAAACCCACAAAAACAAAAGCAGAAACAAAAAGGAAAACCCCAGGAGCTCTCGCCAACCTGCCACCCAACCACACGAGGCAAGTGAGCCCCGGCGCTCGGGGCACCTCGCGAGGGGCCCGGCTGTGTCCTGGCTCCAGGGATGGCCGCTCTGTGCAGGAGCCTCCCCGCAGGGACTTGTTCCTGGAGCTCGGCGCTGGGGGACGGTGCATCCCGCGTCCCACATCCCACATCCCGCTGCTCCTCCGTGTTGGTCTCGGGCGACGTCCCAGCCACACTCGTGTTTCTGGCTCCCGCGCCCGCTCTGCCAGCAGCAGCCCCTTGTCCCGGGACGTCACTGCATTCCCGACCTGTGCCCAGGATTCCTGTTCCTGAGGCGCTGCTCTGGCAGCTCCAGGCAACATTGGGGTTAACCACGAGGCTGGAAGCGGCCCCTTGGAATAACCAGCATGTCCAGATCCGGAGTATCCGGCCCGATGCCAGAGGTGCCACGACAGGCTCGCGGGGTCAGCAGTCACCGCTCAGCCCATCGAAACCCTGTTTAAAGGCAATGCATCATTAACATGATGTATTAGCCCAGGGTAAGGCACAGTATTATTAACATATATATATATATATATATATATATATATATTTATCCTTCCAGGGCACTGGCCCTGGATCGCTCATCGACGGGTGTGTTCGATAGCGTCATCCTTCCTCGAGCGGTCGGGACACATTGCCAGGAGCAGACGCGGGTTTAGGGGCAGCTGCCAGGGCACCACTTGGTGCCCTGAGTTTTGCAGCAACGTTCCCTAGAAGGGGGGATGCAGTCCGGCCTCCCCAGGCTCCATCCCGGGCTCCGTTCGATGGATATCGTGCAGCAATATCTCTTTTTTTTTTTTTTTCCTAACGTTACGGAAACGCAAGCCAAAGTCAACTGGAAACTGTTACTGTCTTGCTGACAAATGGGCCTGCTGATAACTCTGTGTGCTGGCGCTGGGTGAGGGAATGGGGCGGGTAACCCTGCCGGGCGGGCAGTGGGAGCGATGCCCAAATACCCAGGTTTGCTGCCTGCCCCGAAACACCCTTCTGCCCTTCTGAGTTGACCATAAATCTGCCCAACGTGCTACAGATCCACGTGAAAGCCTCAGAAGGGGCCAGGAGAAGAAACGCGTTGCTCTTAGGGTGTCTTTGGAATGGCTGCACCTGCGGGCAGGTGGGAAGCGCCGGGGGTGCCGTGAGCGCCGCGGCCTGGCCAGCCTCCATTACTGGCTCCCGGGGCTCTCTTCCTCACCCCCTCTCCAAAGAGATTTTGTCTTGAACTGACCATTAATTGCGCATTAACAGCCCCATCAACCTGTCAGTAAGTGCATCCTGCCCGCCCGCGATGCTCGAGTTTAGAGAACGGGTCCCCGGGGAGCCCGGGCGGCCGCCGGGGCTCGCGAGGGCTGAGCAGCACCAACCTGCGGGCGCCCTCGCGGCTGCCCTGCTCTGCTGGGGTGGTGGGTGGCATCTTCCCTCCTCGGCTGTGCCAAGCACGAAGAAGGATTTGTGTTTTACCTGGGGAGCGGGTGTCACCCCGTGAAAAGGGAAGAGGCGGCGGGTGGGGACAGCCCGTCCCCGCTGCCGTGCGCGGCTCGGAGCAGGGCCCCGTCACAGGAGCTCCAGGAGCAGGCGGAGGCTGGGGGTGGCTCTGCGGTTGGTGCTCAGCACTAAGGTTCAGTTGTCCCGTAGAGACCCCGCTGCAGGGTCCTGCTCGGCGCCAGGTTCAGCAGCAGCCACAGCAGAAATGGGAGCCCAGGAGGATGGGAGAGGGGCAGGGTGCTCGTCACAGCGCGGCCGCTTCCCCTCGGGGTTGGGACCCCGGTTTTCACCCGCAGCTCCTTTGCTTTGCTGCGAGCCCCCAGCTCGCTGCTCCAGCCCAAGCCCCCAGCTCCAGCTGCTCTGCTTTGGGAGAGAAAACCAAGCCACCAAAGCCAGAGCGCCAAGCGGGCGGGAAGGAGGCAGTGCGCAGCCCTTGGGAGCGGATCTGCTAGCGCCAAGCAGGACAGTGTTCATGTCCCTTCGTGCTTTTGAACTCCCAGATAGTTGAACAAACTACTGCTATTCCTGTTTTCCTCTTCTAATTTGGATAAGAGTACTTGTCAGAGGAATTCAAGAATATCCAGGTGTGAATGGTATCCGACCACGCGACAAATTGTGTGCAGAGAAAATCCTCTGTGGTCTAGTTGTGCAGAGCTGAGGCGGTGGCAGCAGCATCCCCGCGTTGCAGATGAGGCCTCACAGGCCGTGTGCCATCGGTCCCCGTCCCTGCTCCCTTCCACAAGCACCCCAGGGCCGGCCGCGAGGACGGGCCGCTCCAGCTGAGCCCCTTGTGGCTGGAAGCTGAAGGCGGATCCAGCAGGAGCTTCAGCGTCGGCCCGAGGGAGCCCAGCGCTGGGAGAGCTCGTGAGGTGCTGGTTTGGCACCAAAAGCCCTGTCTGGAAGGCCCCGGGGTGTTGCGTAGGAGGGTTTGGCCTCCCTCTTGGTGGGCTGGGAACCGGCAGGCTGGGTCTTCCGCAGGGTCGCAGGGAGGCCCTTTCCCAGGCCTCTCCCGAAGCGCCGGCGCCGTTCGGGGCTGGCTCCCAGCGCGGGATGCTCCCGGCTGCGACGCAGGACGGCTCTGCCGCCTCCACTGCCTCTGTCACCACGTTTCTCTGAGACTCTGTGCTGCTTTGTGTATGATAACCAGGTTTCAAATCTATGGATGTTTCTAGGTTTTAAGATGTGATTTAATAAAAACAGACATTTCTGGGAAAACAGGTTTTCTGGTTGTTGTTGTGGTTCTCTGGACAAGTTGCTAACCCTGGGCCCTGCCCTTGGTGCCAGCAGCTGAAGGGGCGGTGGGCCGGGCAGGCCTGCAGTGGGAGGCAGATCCAGCGCTGGGGATGGGATGGGATGGGATGGGATGGGATGGGATGGGATGGGGTGGGATGGGATGGGGTGGGGGGAGTCCCAGTCCCAGGGGCCCCTGAGCCTTGGCAAGGCCCAGGAGAGACCTCAGAGCCTTGGGCCTCGTCCAAGGAGGGAGGCAGCCCCTTGAGCACCCATTTACACGTGGAGAGAGAAAGGCCTGAGAAACTCGAGAGAGGCCGAAGGTCTGATCATCCTCCTCAGCAAAACTGAGGGCAGCTGCGGAGAAGCCGTGCTAGCCTGGAGGGCGGCTGGGCAGCAAGGTGCCCCGGAGGGTGACAGGCCCGGCTGGCGCACGGGCACCTGCCACGCTGCCTCTGCCCCTTCCCTGCGGGACAGCGTCGGGGAGGCTCTTCGGAAGGTGGCTCTTGTTTTACAGGACAGGCTGGTGCTCTGGTAGGAACGGGGCGGCGCGGGGAAGGCAGCCAGCCCTGCCAGCAGCCCCCGGGAGCTGCCGGCCGAGGCGCAGGTCCAAGAGCCGTGGTTGTACTCGGGAAGGATGGATGAAAGCGGCAGCTGGTGCCAGACGGTTCTGGGCAACCCTCCGCCTGTGCTGAGCTCTGTACCTGCCTCCCAGTAAAGCACGTGTCTCAGGAAGGCAGAGGGCATCAAGTCCCCTGTGTGCGACTCCCCTTCTCCTGGGTCTGGCTGCTTTCATTTCTGCAGTCCAGCAGGTCTGGCTTGATCTCCTAGCCGCAGGTTTGCCCTTTACCCACCACTCTGCAAGTCAGCTGCGTGTTGACCCTCCGGGAAACGCAGTCACTGAGGCCAGGCCTCTCCGGACAAAAGGAGACAGAGCTAAACAGGCTGGACAACCCAGGCCTTTCAGTGCCGGCACTCCAGGCATTCTGAGAGCCCTCACTTCTAGCCCTCGCTTTGGCATCCACCCCCACGTGCAGCTGTGACAGCCAGGCAGCAGGCCCCGCAGCAATCACTTTTTCTCCCCTTACTGCCATCTGCACACCCGGCTTTGGGCTGCTGTTCCTCCTAAGGCCTTCACTGAGTCACCAGGGCCCCCGCTGCCCAAGTGGCCAAAAACATGGCCCTTCCTCACCCTGGGGACGTTCAGCGCTGGCACATGCTGCTCTTCTGAAAGCAGGACGGCACAAAGCGGCCGATCTTTCTCTGGCAGCTCTGCCGGCTTCTCCTGCCTCCCCTGGCGCTGTGGCTGCTGGTGGGGCCACATCCCCCTCCAGGGGATGCAGGGGCTCCGAGTCCTGCTGGGCGCCGCTTGGCCCTGCCCTGGCCGCGGGGCCGTGAGGCTGCGCTGACCGTCGCTCCCCACGCGCCGCGTGGTTCTCGCGGGGCTGTGTGCTGCTGATGCGGTCATGGGCCCTGCGTCTGTGTCTCTGGGGCCGAGTGGCTTCGCAGAGTGCTCTGCTCCCACGTGCCCGGGCTCCACGCCAGGCCACTTGTCACGCTGCCCAAACAGGAGTTGTGTGGGGCTGAGAGTTTCGGGGCCGCCTGCGGGCGCAGCTCTGGCGAGGCAGAGGGCTGGGTGCTACGCCTGGGCTCGCTGGCCAAGTTTCACTTCCCAGCCCTTGCTGCTGCCTTGCTGCTGGCCTAGGAGAGCATCGGCTTGCAGCGGAGGATGTGAATCACGCCTGGATGCAGGCGAGCCGGTGGATGACAGGTCCGAAGCCCGCAAATGAGGGGGGCTTCTTTGCACCAGGTGTGGGTAAACAGTAGGATTTATTGTTCATCCCTGGGCTCAAAAGCCAACTCGTGGCCCTGCAGGCGCAAATCCCTGCAGCTCTGCACAGCACAAAGGCACATTGAGCCCGCGAGCGCCTGCGCCGTGAGTCACCAGGGCTGCGGAAACGGCGGCGGCCGCCAGCGCCGGCTTCAATCCCCACCCACGGCCACCGTGAGGGATGTGACACTGCCCGGCGGGCCGGGCTCACCCGGGCTGGACAGGGGGCCACATGTGACATGAGTCTCCACAAACGCGGGGAGCCCCCGGGGCGAGGGTGCTGGTGCTGGAGCGGTTCATGTCGGTTCAGTTGGCCAGGGTGCGACTGCTCCAGGCACGTCCTGGCCAAAGGTTGCCCGCTGTGCCGCGCAGGGCCGCGGGGGCACAACCAGCCTTGTGCGCCGCGGACAGCGAGTCCGGCGCTCCCAACCACTTCCTGGCCGGGCTGGCAGCCCCGCGAACGCTGCTGGCTGCCGAAGAGCGGCCAGGCGCGGAAGCAAAGCGCGAGGACCAGCGCTGCTCCCCGCGCTCGCCCGCGCGCCGCCACGAAAAACGTTTCCCGCGCTGGTGCTGGCGCCGCCGAGGCC